GTGGCCGACACTTCGTTATTGGTTTGGCCGACTCGCAATATTCGTTATTACAATATCTACTTGATTCTTATTAATATAAAGAGTAAAAAAATGAAAGTACAATTTGTGTGAGATAAAAAAAAATACACAAATTGTTAAACTGCGAAAATATCTTAGAAGTGATAATGCAAGTCAGGCCCACTGGCACCGTCGTAATTTGATGATCGTGTTACGAGTCTCGTAAATGTGCCATTTCGGTTAGAGCAGGTTGTTAGAGGAAAATTCAGTATTACTTGTGAAAAATCTAATAACGCGTGTGACATTATTATATTTTGAAATTGAAACTTTGGATCATATTGGTGAAACTCTCGTGAAAGGGAAGTATTGTAAAAATTATAGTACACGTACTATTATATTACATGAAATTGAAAATTTGAATTATGCTTACGTCAGTCAGAGATTCATGGAAGTATTTGAAAGTGTTAGAAATTAAATTAGGTTGCATAAATAGGTCTTTCGTATTTTGAATAAATTGTGTCGCTGCAATCGTAATTGTAAACAATATTTATATATAATAATTAATAAATAATCGTAATTGTAATTGTATATAATATTATACAATAATAGCATGACTAATATATTAGAAATAAATGCAATTTCGGTATTCTCAGGAAAACAGAATTCGATAACGTAAATTGATTGAAACAAGATTGCCAACGGAATGTTTCGTTGACATAAAATCAATCCTTCATGGATCGAACACTTTTTCATTATAGCGTATACGTTTCGTACAACACCATCGATGCATCGATGTGAAAAGACCACCAAATTTCATATATTATTTATTCAGAAATAAAAGTTACCTATATTTATTCACTTTCAATCGGGAAATTTCAATCGCGGAACAAAAAACCGTGTTAAAAAAAATTTCGCATCATAAAATCGCCAAACGTACACATATCGGCTGAATTTTTATGCATTTGCAGGAAATTTTAAAATGCGAAACTGCAGACAACACAGTATGAAGGAGTATATAAAATATCCACACAGCACAATGCTTTCAATAAAACATTTAGTATATAAAATTAAATGTTATTTTCTATGGGGGATCTATTTATTTAATTATATTCCCAAAGATGTAAATTTACATTAAAAAAGAATCGCTGTTCCTGTATAATTAAGAATTACAACATTTCATTTGCAATCATTTTCGATCGATTTACATTATCAAATATTATTCTTCGTTGTCGAGACTACGACAGAAAATTCCAAATATTTTTTTATTGTTACGTCTCCCAATCTGACCCTACAATTGTACGAAATTTAAAGTAGATTGAAGTATTTGATATTGTCATAAATTATTGCTTGGCCCATTTAATTAAGAAAAATTCACTTTCACGACAAGCAGAACGTTCGTTTGTACATTGAAAAACGACTTCTATTCTAAAATCCGCCAGATCGGAGAAAAATCAATAAGAGCTCCGAATGATCCGAGTATTCTTCCCGAACAGTTCAATGACACAACAATTCCCGCCGATCCTTTTACTTGAGAAACTCTCTGCTCGAGAAGAAGGCGAGAAGCTCGCCTGACTGTTGCAACGAACGTTGTCACAAACATCTCCGACAATTACTTAACCCTTGCTCACCGAGCAATGGATTCCTAGATCGACAACGCGGACGGCCAATGTCAAAGGTCGTCGAATAATTGTCTGTCACGACGCGTCCGAAACGGCACGGTTTCGTCACCATCGACGGATTCCTCTGGCTCTTCTTCCTCTTTCTCTCTCGGCCTGCCGTGTATCGTACGTCGGATCGCGAGTTGCTCTACGATTTAAGGAGCGTCGGCTTTGTCGAGTCGTGACGACGATCGGTTCGATCCCCTTGGTTGCAACATCCGTTCACAGCTCCGGCAAAACTACGACCGTTTCGGTTACATCGATCGCGAGGTTCCTCTCTTAACGATCCTCGATCCAGTATACCGATCGCCTCGATCGAAAGTGCACGGCTGCGCTTTTTCATTCAGCTCTCCGAACTGTTTGGAGGAAAATACTCGTCGAAGTAGCAGCACAATTTGAAACGTGGAATTTTGTAAGATGAAAGAAAACTGCGTCCAATTTTGTGAAATTAATTTCTGCGAGATCACTGCTGGATGAAAGTTCAGAATCTTCGTGGCCGGTAATGATTGAAATATCAAAATCTATGTTTTATCTATTCAATGTGGAACACAGTGAATAGAAAATAGAATGTGGATAGATTTTATATATAATTTTATAACAAACAGAGCGTATTTTTAAGTTTCTGTAAATTAAAGAAATTTGTTTGATTTATACAAGATGTAATAAATATTCTACTTTAGGTATCTTTGCATATTATGTCACAAAATTCTACTAATTAAAAAAATTCTAAATAATATACAAATAATATAATGAAAAATTCTAAATAAAATGTTACAAAAATTCTATTATAAAAAAAATTCTAAATAAAATAACATAAAAATTCTATTATCTAAATATAATATCATAAAAAAATTCTATTATCTATTTATAATATTCTATTATCTAAATACAATATCATAAAAAAAATCTAAATAAAATATCATAAAGATTCTATTATCTAAATAATATAATAAAAAATTCTAAATAAAATATCATAAAAAAATTCTATTATAGCATAAAAATTCTACTAATAAAATGTCGAAGACACAAAAACAGAGTACTATACTATATTACACGGACTTATGAAAATATTTGAATATTTTTAGAAAATATTTGACATAAAACAGTTGTAACTATACCTATATATCTAGATTATCTAAGATTGCACATACATTCATATGTAGTACGTATATATGATAGAATTTAGAAACAAACGCGCGACGAGCCGGCAAACCGGTGAGAGAACCGTTTGTTCCATCGTCATCGAGTCGCGAATCGGCTTCCCGATTTTTCCCGCGGCTCTCTTTTCTCTAGCGGCTGATTTTCGAGCCGGCCGATCGGGCAACCCTCGTTACGAGCCTCGACTAGCCGTAATCAATTTCATGCATTGATTAATACGAAGTAAATGAATACCTGGGAATCGTTGCGGGGCCTCTCGATGGCGCGAGCTCGCCAGCCCGCGAGATGATTTATCCGGCGTGGGTCGAGGGCTGGCCGGGCCGGCGCGCGTAATTATCATACGACAGCCGATTAAAATTGCGGCCGTGCTCGCGCTCAACATCAATTTCAAGCTAATTACATGCATTTTCGCGTCTGGAAGCGGACCGCGGAAAAATCGGTCGTTACGTGACCCGACCGCTGGATCTGCTCGCGAGATCGAGACCCGCCGCAGCGTGCTTTACCGGTTAGATCAGTGTTTCCCAACCCCGGTGACGGACGAATGCAGCTGTACGCGTTCTAAATTGACATTGGATCCGTCGTTCTTTGCAATTTTGAGAAATCTGAGATCTACGAGATAGAGGGTACATTTCACCGTGTGCGAATGGTTTATATAAAATTGGAATTCTTATAATCAGAGACCACCGATGATTCTTCCAATTAAATGTTAATTTAAATTTTATATATTAAATACAAGAATAAATTCATATAAAATTCTGTAGGGTCTTATCGTCCCGTAAAAAAAAATTCTTAAATTCATAATTTATATATGAGACGGTATATATTTTAATTGATCCTTTCATTCCAGATTTCATTTAAATATCAATTGATTATGCCACCTTTGTACAGTCACTTGTTGTTAGAGATTTTTCGTTCGTAGAATAGAAGCGGATTGAATCAGCAAGAATTCGTTTAATCGGGTATATTAGTTCAAATAATCGGAGGGTATTTCTGAAATAGTGGCCAGAAGGTGATTCCACGTGAGAGAATAAATCAAAAAGGAAGAATAAATTCTTTCAACTTGGGACTTCGTTTTCGAGAAAATTAAGTTTGAAAATTTACTAGTTCTAGAAAAGGATTATTAATAGGAGAGTATTCTATGTACTCTGAAATAAGTGAAAAATGTAGAATGAAATTTTTTCATTTTTGAATATGTTTCGTTAAAGGTTGCATGTATTTGATAACTTTTCAAGCTCGATTTTCTCAAAAACGAAGCGTCGTGTGAAAAAGTTTTATTCTTTTCTTTCGATTTATCTTTAAACGTAGAATCATACGTGGCCGGTTGTACCACGATTTTGGAAACATTCTGCAAATTATTGAGAGCAAAATCACACATTAGGAAAAGAAATTAGAAGTCGCAAAAGATTCAAATTAATAATACTTTCCATAAATAGAAATATAAAGATAATATAATAAAAAAAGTATAACAGAAATATAATATAATATAATAATAATAAATATAATAAATTAATAATATACTATACTATATAATATACTATATAATATACTAATATACTATATAGTAGTATATTAATAATATACTATAATATAATATTTTGCAGCTTTTCGTTTAATATGTTATACCTACATATTGTAATATATTAGATATATATTGTAATATATAGATTTCAAAATATATCACCCAGTTAATAGTTAAAGGGAATAATAATATACTACTATAGTAGTATACTAATATACTATAGTATAATAATATACTATATAATAGTATATTAATAATATACTATAATATAATACTTTGCAGCTTCTCGTTTAATATGTTATACCTATATGTTGTAATATATTATAGATTTCAAAATATATCACCCAGTTAATAGTTAAAAGAAATATATACAATATGCGGATATAATTATATTTACAGATCGTGATGTAAGCCAATAAATTTCATTGCATAATACAATACTATATATATAATATTATATAATATTCTGACTTTTAATTATCCCCTGTATAACATTCTGACTTTTCACAATTTAGTAATCTCTTCTCAGGAATCTGTCCGTAAGTACAAACTTGTTTCAACACCTAAATGTTCACTTCATCGTAATTTTTCGCGAATTTAGTTGCAACTTCTAATTTCATTGACCTATCATTCGTTTAGAAATCAGTTTCAATAGCCTATTCACTCACCGAAACGGCGCGAACGTCTGACGACCGTCCCCGGAAGACAGCTCCTTCGTTCGTTTTCCGTTTTTCAGCTTCTTCCGGAAGCTGTGCCTCGCGCGGATCCACGGAACGCTGGAAGACATCCTCGACAATCTCGATTCGCGTCCCTTCCCCACTGACGCAGTTAAACGCTCCCTCTTCTTAATTTCATTCACGCAAACCGAGCGCCCATCTCTGTTGCTCTTTTCATCAACGTCGACGAACCTCTCGCTGCTCGCTGTCTCAACTTTCGTCTCGCTTCTACGATGTGGATCTGGATCCTTTCCGGAGGCATCACCGACGTTGGAAAAAGAAGCGTCGGCGGTGAAACGCTTTCTCTTCTCTCGCACGAGGTCGATGGACGAGATATCTCTAGGAACTATCGAGGAACTCGACATGGAGGATTTCGAGAGGCTCAAACGTGGCACCGACGCGCCAACGTCGTCGAGCTGGGTCGAATCGACGTCCTCCAAGTTGCAATTGCTCCTCTCGCAGTTCCCCGTTCGGGATGATCGTCCGCTTCGAGAGGGATCGGGAACAACGGCGCGTTCCAAGGTCGAGGCTCTCGATGAATTTCGAAGCGTGAACTCCTCGTGAAGATTGCCGGCGACGTCCTCCAGCTCGGCTACGCGTTTCTCGAGGAACGCGATCCGACGATCGCGTGCTCGCAGCAGATGCAGGGCTTTCTGCGCTCGTTGCTCCTCGTCCAAGGCATTTCTGAAAAACGATCAAAGTGATACTTTATACTATATATGTGAGTTTAAATTCGAATCTTAAATTTAAATTTAAATTTGAAATCTTAGACCGGCGAAAAATTTCTCGGTTGTCGTTGAAATTCGCTTTGTACGAGTGCGGTGTTGAATTGATGTATTTATGAATGTTGTACTGTACATTTGGAATTGAAATTATATTTTTATATAACATTATATATAAATTATATATATTATATATAATATTATAATATTTAGTAATAAATATTATAAAATTAATTAATTATAAATATTTATTATATTTAATATTATAATATTTAATAATAAATATTATAAATATCAATTAATAAATATTATAATATTATAAATATTTATTATATTTAATATTATAACATTATAATATTTAGTAATAAATATTATAATATTATAATTAAAATATTATATATTAAAATATTTTATTAGAGAAATATTATAATATTTTAAGCAGTTTTTTAAATGTATTTTTGTTATTTATACTGGGCAAGTGCAGTTGAATGTATTGCATGTAATCTGCTTAGAGTTGAGATCTTCGTCAGAAAAATGTTATAGTATTATTATAATACAATATATTTAATATTATATTATAATATTTATTATATTATAATTATATATTATAATGTTTTATTACAGGAATATTATGAATGCAGTTCGACATTCTCTACAAAAAACGTGTGTCGAAAAATTATAAGATATTTCAATTTCATTTTTCTGTAACACACAAAAGACAAAAATAACACAAACCTTTAAACACTGTTTCGTGTATTTATTTCTGCATGCTATTCTATACAAAAGCCAAATAAAATAATTTGACACGTAAGTTGATATTTTTCTTTTACAGAAAATGATGTGTTGAAAAAAGTATGTAGTACAAGAAAACAAAATTGATCTTCAAATTACCTTTACACGTCCACTCAAGAAAAAAAAAAAGAAACCATCATCAAAATGTGTCCTCCCAGTCATTCGACTTTTATTTGAAATATTTCAACAACCAACATGTCGAACTTGGATAAAGATACATAAATGTCTCATCCCTGCATACACTTTCAGATTCATCTCAAACTTCTCAAATACATAATCATGATATTTAAGATATATCTCGCGAGGCTGTTAGAAACACCAAGAAGTGACAAGAGAGAGAGAAAGAGAGAGAGAGAGAGGATGGCGGTATTCACCAGTGGCATTCACGACAGTATTTTCATAAGCATTTATCAGGACGGCCAGTTTTCCAACGGGCTACCGGGAGGGAGGATAACACGGGTTCAGCAGCAAGTAAGAAGGAACTGCAGGAGCCGAAAGTTTATCCGCGAAGTTTCGAGTGCAGAGCCGGTTGATTTATCGGGCTCATTACTGCCAGGAAAGAGGGAGGACTACAGGCAACACAAGCCACCCCAGCGGCGTGTTTTACAAGACGGCATTAATTGCCCGAATTAAATATGCACCTCTCTCCGTGCCGTAATTTATTTCGGTTTCCTTAAGCACTTTAAGTCGCCGGGAACTCGCCGGCCGCTCGCGCACCATCGCCGACGCTTTCCACGTCGACGTTAATAATGGCCTCGTAGGATATTAATTGACGCTGCTTCTGTAAAAAGCTCCCGCTCTACACTTTAATCCTGACCGCGCGGGATGAACCCCCCCCACCGAACGGCCGATTTTATTCGCCAGGGATTAGACCATCTCTTTATTTCGTACATGTAGAGTTGCTTCGCGGATCTTGCTTTGATGAAAATTATGCAATTGTATCGAGCATTGATCGAGGAATTTCTCAAGAGTCGATCTTGAGATCGTGGTTGATTTCTGTAATCAGGGGCGAAGAATTTATTTCTACCGACTGAAATATCATTCACGGAATATATCGTGTGTATTAGAAATTATCATTGTTATGTATTGTGAGAATCGTATGTCATGATTGTATTGGCGAAATTTGAGGGAACTAAGTTGAAAACGTGTATCGAGAAGTGTAGCGAGATATGTTATTCATGTGAAACATTTTTCATTACGAATAACGATAGAGATGTCAAAATTAGATAAAAGACGCTCTGTATATTTTTTTTAGAGATTGCAAAAGTATTCGATTGGACGCTTACTATGTCACTTAATAATATTAATTATTAAGTGATATAGTTATTAATAATATTAATTTTTTATATCTTTGTCATAATTTTTACATGCAATATAAAATTATGCAAGTTGTGTAAATTTGTTACGATGCCAGTGACATTTCGAAATATCTTAAGCAAAATTTACAATATGAATATAAAAGTTCAAATATTTTCTTGAGCTTGTGCAATACGTATATTATCTCCTTCATTTCTGAAGAAGAAAAGACATTAATGACTTTGATATTTTCATACATCACGTAAAATTTGAAAAGATAAAGCTGAACGTAGATTTTGATATTTTATTGAGTGTGAGATAGAGCGTGATTTTGAAAAGTAAAGTGAAAAATACAGAAGCAATAAAGTTTACTGAAATTTTGTCGAATTGTGAAACTAGTTCTTTCGAAAATAACTTTCTCGAAAATATTAGCTGACTTGTATCGATAAAGCGTTTAATTACTCTGTATGTCTACGAATTTTATTTTATAATAACACGATCGCAATGTAAACCACTGCAAAAGATAATTTTTCTATTTATCATCTAACAATAACAAACTATTCGACGATATTCGTATGACTTCACTGAATTCTAAAATTAAAAGAAAGAAAAATGTGCCAATGAAAGTTTCACTTTTGTTAGAATTAACATAACTTTCTTCAACGTAGCACATAGTAACTAAATTATCGAGAAAACTAAAAAATAATTCTTAGCACGCGTCAATCACACAAAAGTCACACAGGAAAACTCGAAGCATTTGTCAAATTAACTCATCCCTAAAAATGAAAGTTTCACTTCTGTTAGAATTAACATAACTTTCTTCAACGTAGCACACAGTAACTAAGCTATCGAGAAAACTAAAAAATAATCCTTGACACGCGTCAATCACACAAAAGTCACACAGAAAAACTCGAAGCATTTGTCAAATTAACTCATCCCTAAAAATGAAAGTTTCACTTCTGTTAGAATTAACATAACTTTCTTCAACGTAGCACACAGTAACTAAGCTATCGAGAAAACTAAAAAATAATTCTTGACACGCGTCAATCACACAAAAGTCACACAGAAAAACTCGAAGCATTTGTCAAATTAACTCATCCCTAAAAATGAAAGTTTCACTTCTGTTAGAATTAACATAACTTTCTTCAACGTAGCACACAGTAACTAAGCTATCGAGAAAACTAAAAAATAATTCTTAGCGCGCGTCAATGTCACAGGAGAACTCGAAGCATTTGAGAAGAAATTTGTCAAATTAACTCAACTCCCTCCGCCCGAACGACAAATGTCCACGTTAATCTCGTCGATGAATCTTCTCCCGCCGTTTTTTACATGCCCCGCGCGATCTTCCAAGCATTATCGGAATTAATAACGTACCTCGTTCGAAATTAATCGGCTATTTAATACAGGACATTCTATGAAATCTAATTAAGAGGGGCCATCGGTCGGTAATCGCGCGCCACAAATCACCGCGCCGCCCCCGCGGGCCGTGAAACACGGTGTTGTTGTACCAGCGCGAATCCCCGTCCCCGTAAACTCGAGGCCTGTCTGCCCTCGGCCCTCCGGGATCTCCGCGGCGATTAATTAGGCATAAAAATCTGGTCGTTTGCGAGAAAAGAAAAAAANAAAAAAAAAAAAAAAAAAAGAAAGAAAGAAAAAGAAAAAGAAAAGAGAAGAAAGAAATGCCGCAGATTGCTCCACTTAATCCCCGGGCAGCCGCCTTCTGCGCTGGGGATGACGCCTCCTGACGTTCCGCTGGAAATTCATTAAAGCGATATCCCATTTATTCCGAACGAGCCCCCGCCCCCCCCCCCCTCTTAGTCCTCTAACCGACCGAAAAAACAAACGCCTAATCCGTTAATCAAATCGCCGTCGACCCCTCGGAATTGCTCTTCCCTCCCATTTTCTTCTTCTTTTTTTTTTTTTCCTCTCCGTTTTTCCTCCATTGTTTCGTCAGAGATGTGTATGTAGCGGAGCGGCAGACATATCTGAATCTTCAGTTTCTGTTGATGATTGCGAATTGGGTTACACTGGGTCTTGGATATTTACTGTTTACTCGTGAATTTTGCAATTCTGAGTGAATCTTTTGGTAATAATAATGATATTATACAATTGTGAAGCTGCAAACGGAAATACGATTTATCATCTTTGAGACGACACACGTGACGACAAATGGACGGAACTTGGAATTTCGTTTCATTTTATAACAAAATTAAAGGACGTGTACATTAAATTATGTACGTTTATGATTCGTTGCACATGCATATTCAATTTACAATGAAATATTGCAACCCTAAGTTGAAAAATATAAGTTCTGCAATTAAGTAACTTGTTCAAATTTCTATCTATTGGTTAAAGTGTTACGATCGTGTACTTTATACCTTATATTCAGTCATGCATCACGTACACATATATTCGTAACGATTAAACTCAAATTTTGTTGGAATAAAATATTGTTGATTTTGAGAAGTAACGCAAATATCCACAAATCATACATTTTCAATTACGCAGCTTCTTAGATTTGATTGATCGTTCGTGTTGTTTACACCCTAAATTCATCAAGTTCGTCATTCTGTACCACTTAATTCAGAATTACACTTGTGTGTAATTTCCAAACGACACGTTTCTTCTGAAACGTTCAACTGAAATATAATAAACATGACGTATAGTGAATATTTTGCTCGCGCTGGCAACTGATTGCGGACCGTAACGAGTGACCAAACCGGTCACCACAACAATTCGTCGCTTTCCTTTTCAACTAATAATTTCAAGTAATAAATTTATTATTTTGTTTTGCCTGGGTTATACTTAAACATACTTAAAATTTTTGGGACAAAAAGTTCGTGGCACGTCACTTCAGCGCAAGAGTATTTAATTC